GTGGTTGGTCGGTAATCTTTTGGTGAATAAGACCTGTGTTTCCTGCTCTTGTGGGATTTAAAAGATCCTAAGATGTTTGCAATCCAACAACATACAAGTTACAACCTCATTTTTTTTCAAGTGTGCATTAACGCAAGTCCAGTAATCATCTTTCTGACAATATATGTAGGTTCAAGTTAAACGTATGGCAGATTTTGGATTTCACATATGTATAAATAAGGTAGCTGGCCAGTGTGTGTATGTGCCAAATGATTAAAATAAAATCTGTATTATAATTAAGTTACAGAAACCTTAAGAGAAAACACAACCTCCTGTTCTCACCACAACTTGAACCCACGATCCATCAGCTGACTCCAGATGAAATGTGAAATAAAGTTTGTCTCTCAATCTGCAGCAAATAAATAAATAAATAAATACAAAACAAGGAGGTGGGGGGGTAAGCTACCTTAATGCCTCCAAAGACATTAGCTGAGGCTGTTCAATCTCCAAAATCTCACTAACACCACAGTGCAGGTGCAGTTAACACATAATGTAACTGAGCAGTCAGTTGGCAAACCAATTCACACAGAAGATCAAAATATGTTAGGAGCGCCTTGGAGGTAGGTTAAATGTGACATTAGGGCTTGCACCAAAAACAAATTAAAATGAAAAAGCGCCAATTCTTTGACAAGAGAGCAAATAAGCTAACGGCACTTATTTAACGTTAACGTTACATAGTGACACTCTAGACATTAAACTAAATTTGACTGAGATTTGGACAATATTCATTCAGAAATTAAGACAGACCAATAAAAGTACCGGTGAGCAGAGATGGCTGCCATCCTCAAGCCACGATCCAGAGTGCAAGAAACAAAATCATGTGCGGTATCACGAGATTTAACATTGCTACATTATTGATTTACCTTTTTTCAGTGTACAGGTGACTTCCACTTCCACATATATTTCTTTTAGCTTTTCAGAACACTGAAAGCTAAAATATTTTTTGAGATATTGTATGACTGCAAATAGAAACGTGGCTTCAGTCCGGTGTGACGGCGTAACAAGACACATGCCAGGTAAAAAAAACTTTACCCACTAAAATCTCGTTCATTGATTTTTCTAGAGTTAAACACACGATTGAGTGGGGAAGGAATCACAGGAGGCTGACAAAACACAAATATGCCTAAAATACAAGATAAAAACTTGGTGGGAAAAGCTAACAATGTCGCAGTGCAAGCTAATGCTAACACTGGAGCAGACATATCTCCAAACAATTTGCTGAGAGCTATAGAGTCACTCAACTCGGAACTACAGTTGTCGTCAGTCTTTGATCTGGTGGACCACAGCATTCTGCTAACAAGACTAGAATATTTAGTAGGCATTAAAGGGAACGTCCTTTTCTGTGACGATGGGAGCTACTCTTCCTCTGTTACCCCTTTTCGTTGTGGTGTGCCCCAGGGGTCTGTTCTTGGCCCTATGTTGTTCTCATTGTACATGCTACCCTTGGGCTCTATATTTGACAAATATAACATTTCTTTTCATTTTTATGCTGATGATATTCAAATCTATTTTTGTCTGACTGACGGTACCCCATCTTCACTACACTGCTTTCTTGATTGTATGAGGGAGGTCAAAAGCTTTTTATCGAGTAACTCCCTTTT